GCCAAATTTAATCGTGCTATATATTATGTATGGTCACAGCCGCAAACAGACCGTTACACTCGGCGAATTTAAGTAGCTGCGGCCGCTGCCGCTAGCTGCAGACGCCATCCCCGACAGGAGTCTCTTTCGTCGAGTGCCTCGGCCAGCCAGAGTGTCACATCTCCGAATAAATAAATATTCATCAGCCGAGATAGTAAGTGCATGCATTTTTTTTAGACTACCTTGACATCCAAGGTTTTTATTTGGCTTGCAATGTTGAATATAGGTACAGTAAGAAGGACATCCAAGGTTTTTTGCTTGCAGTGTTGAATATACAGTTAAAATTGATCAATTTTACACCTACCTTTAAAAAAAATCATGAACCTGACCCAAATGACCTTTGTCCTGTGACTTGTTTCTCGAGACCATATTCGGACGGAATTGCGATTTGTCGTATGCCAGCTCACATTATCCGCGCGTTAAAGGTAGTGTGCCACCTTTGAAAGATTTCCCGTTTTATTTTTCCTAGGATAAGAAGCTTCTGTTTTTACCTAATATCGCAAAAAAAAATCAAAAATGGGCCTGGAATAGTGCCTTTTTCGCCTAAAAGTTTATCGGTTTTTAGATATGTATAACAATTGTAGTGGGCTCACCTGCAAACAGGCGTCGGGCAACAATCGCGAATGCGGCGCACTTGTGACAATAAGCAAAGGTCATTATAGTGTTACGACCATACGACGTACGGGAATGAGTTATCAGCTGTCTAATCGTAGACAACACAATGTCGAGCCTTAAACTGTAAGCCTGTATTGGTATTGTTTCTTAAATTTGGCTGTCGAACATTAATTTGTGGTTTGAAATATGATTTTATGTAAAATAATTGATATGAAACAGCCGTCTCTTAAGTTATGACCCCATTACACCACACGCAAGTGGCAGAAATGACAATGATCAGCTGACGCATTTTTCTTGGCCGAAGTCAGAGCGCGCGGCCCGACGCACCACGCGTATTTGGAAATTCCGACCTCGACGAGCATCAGAAGCCACCTAACAGGCGTGTTCGAAACCGCAGGAGATGATGATGAACGGGTTTATCGAAACTTGATTGGATGAGCCTATCGGTAATAGCGATTTTAGTGTGTGCATTTATTGTTCATAGTAGTGTGAAATGTGGTTGGGGTACGACCGACAACCCGTCGGGGCGAATTTCGCACTGGGGTACTCAAAATTTGAAGAATTTAAGACGTTTCCATAAGTTTTGAAGGTATGGATAAGTTCTAAAAATCCGGTTCTCCTTATCCGGGTCATTAACTCCATATGGTCCAAGAAAGCTGGCACACTACCTTTAAGAGTAAACGTTAAAACATGTGAAATGCAGTTGCTTCATGCTTGTCCCATGAATTATGATGGATGTCAAGGTCACGTTAAGTAAAGGTCAGGTCAAGGTCACTGACCTTTGATAGCCTTCGTTGACTTTTTCGAGTGTTACGTGTTTCTATGGTAGTTTTTGGAGCTGATTTCGAGGTTAGCATCCATTTGAACATTTACGAAGAAGCCTTGGCCGCCTTAGTAAGTGAATCGTAACATGTTATTAAGTTGTCAGTGGTGGTTGACACCTAATATGGATAGCTGTCATCACTCTTCTGGTTGACCTGACCCAACCTGGCCTAAATACACACATAAGATCGAAACTAGCATGAAATTCGTGATCAGCACCCAGAAAGCCCCTGGTCAACCTCACTTTACAAAGTTCTAACAGGTCCCGATTTTTCCGACTTATGCGTCATTCCTGACCTGGAAGGTCGACCAATAATCTAGGACCTTAACCCGCGCCCCGCTGGGCTATTCAGCCATACGCGCCCTGCTGGGGGGGGGCAGATTCTGCCCCCCCCCTGTCTAACTTCCGAACCGATGGTCGTAGAAAGACGGGGAAAACGGCAATCGAAAGCTCTCAACGAGGCGAATATTAAGAGCTCAATTTTTTTTTGCTTAAGTAGGTCAGAGGTCAGGTCAAGGTCAGGTCAAGGGTACAAAATGCAAGTTTCTACAGTATCGGCCTTGCACCGTAATTGCCGAAGAATGGACTGAGACTGATTGCCCAAAACGTGTTCTTAGGCTACCAAGACAATATTCGTTGCATACAATATCATTCAAAGGTCAAGGTCAAGGTCAGGTCAGGTCAGGTCAGGTCAGGTCACCAAAAACAAAATATAGAAAAGGGCATGTGCGACACATGTCTTATGGGTCATTTTATTCATAGAATTCAATAGGCACACTCAATTAGTGATATGGACCACCTCTGGATGAATTTCAGGTCAAGGTCAGGTCAAGTGAGGTCAAATTTTGAAATTGGTTGTTAAGGCCTAAAAAGGTGTCTATCTGATGCAGTTTTTCACGGCGAGTCGAATGGTGCTATTTTCGTTTCCGTACGAGGTCTAGAACTTCCAAAAAACTCATTTTTCAAAAATTTTGTGTGTCGTGACGTCATAAAAATTTTGAATAACTCCCACATTTTTGAACCGATTCTTCTCAAAATTGGTATGTAGGTGCACATAGACCACTTCTCCGACATATATTCCGGTTTTTTCGATACTCAAAATTTTGGATTTTATAATTATTTTCCCCGAAAAATCGGTTTTTTGAAAAAAAAATTGGGCCAAAATCCGAAATTTAAAAAAAAACTGAGATAGCCATTTGATAGACAAAGTAAAATCACGTATAACCTTTTTTGTTACGTCTTGATTCCTTTAAAAATGAAGATGTTAGCGGCGTTTAAAATTTTGCGATTTTTGAGGCGAAAATTGAGGCGAAAATTGGGGGGGGGGGGGCAGATTCTGCCCCCCCCCAGCGGGGCGCGGGTTAACGTTGAGCAGCATCGACTTCTTCTCGTCACGGGCTATATAATCGGTTTTCCGCGAAGTTCTAGCTCGATCAGGGACCGTACAGCAAGGGGTCTAACGGACCCCCTCCACTCCACGTATATTATCGTCAGCAAAAACACTTATAAGGGTGAGGGTTCAGCCTCTCAGCACCAGTGACTGAAGTGAGGATGTTGAACATATTTCTGGCTCCTACACCGTTTTCATTTCATCACTGCCAACTCCTCCACAGCAATCAGCTGTGAATCAAATGAGCAGTCAAAGGCCCAGGTGATTGGCAAGAATAAAAATGTAAATATCAGCACATAATAATGGCAACACAAAGGACAACCCCACCATGTTAAGTGTGACTGACACTTAACAACCCTTTAGAGATCTACATAGCAACATGAAGGATCTGATACCTAACATATCAATCATCTTAATTTGAGCATGAGACCAAGGCCATATAACCCATGAGACTTTTGAAAGAGGACCACTGGCCCATGAGACAAACATATACTTGGTTCTTATAACTCACTGTTGGAATTCCTAAAAGATTCTTGAAATCAGCTGATTTATATCTCATCTCTGGATTGTAGATTGATCATCAATCAAACAATCCAGCTACCAGGTTATTAACACTAATACTGTTGTATATTTATCCAGAAGACCCTGCTCCAGCACTCGAGTGATAAGTGACTGGAACTCTCTCCCCATGAAGGTTGTCCTTGCTCCTTCCTTGAGTGTGCGCCATTCAAGTAGCACCAGGATGCCCACTGGGATGGCATCAGATACCAAATTCCTGATTGATCCACGCACTGCTCGATGAGAACGGGACCAGGCCAAGTGGCCAACAAAATTCTTGAATACGTTACGGCATGGTATGACATGCCGTAACATATGCCGTAACGTGATGATGCCAACAGGAATGGATAACACACCATGATTTTTTTTTATTCTGTTGTGATAACAGAAAACTGCATGCTGTTCCAAACAGGTGAGTGGAGCAGGCGAGTATCCTGGGGACCACATGCTAGCTATAACAGGAACTCAGCAGTGTGCAACTCTTTACAACACTTTTCCAAGCCAAAGTTCTTGCCCCTAAACAAGAATGCTTCCAGCCAAAACAGCTCCAGAGCCCCTGAAAGTGCCCACCCTAACCTGAACAGCTCCATGAAGCCATTGCTGTCGGAGCAAAGTTCAGGTCAATTATGCCGAAGTAAACTCACCTTGAAGACGCCTGGTTAAAAGAAGTCTTGTGTATCTTATCACAACACCAACTTTCTCGCTGATAATGTCGGTTCAGCACAGTCACAGCACACCAAAGACGGCATCCGCCAAAACTAACTGTTTTCTCGAATGAACCGAGGAAAAGTATTCAAAGAGAATCATCGAGATTCGGCCTTGATTCCAATTCTACTTGGGATGACGATTGTCATCGGCCGTGCACCTTCGTATATTTAACAAAAGTGGCCTTGTAAGGTAAGTAATATTGGTCTAGCCAAAACATTAAAAAATAATTCACTTTTGGCATCCACTAAACACCTCCCATTTCTCCTCCAACCACCACCGCCAAGGCCACGACGACGACAACAGATGAAGTGGCGACGGTAGCAGAAGCCCGGAAAGGACGCGAGTGCTCTAAATAAAATATTTTAATTATGAATGGGAATACTCATCAAATTTTGAAGATTATTTTAATTTTTAAATTTCCAATGTAGGATTCATGTAGTTATTGATGTATGCATTTTTTTTTGTCTTTTAAAGAATAAAAATAAGTTGGAAATCTTGAGCAAAGTTTTCCTTTCCACTGTACGTATTTTCTCTAATATCTGATCAAATTACGGTCAAAATTTCTTCTAATTTCAATTTGATTTAATGAAAATCAAATTTTTCATCTATTTTTAGATATTTAAAACTGTAAACCAACTAACCATAGACCTGTATTTAAAGGTGATACTTGGATATTTGGCTTTTTATTTCATATTGTAAATGTTTTCAATTTGGTAGCGTAATATGGTTTCAAAAATAAGAGACAGATTCTGCGAAATAGATTCAAATAAATGATCAGTATTCTCCGTGCATACTGTTGTGTGAGTCAAGATTCTTACAGATAGAGGGCCTTGACAGATAGTGTGAGTGGTGTTTTTTGGGTGTGTTTGTTTTGTGAGCAAGATTCTTACAGATAGGTGTCAGTGTGAGCAGTTCAGTGTTTTTATATAGGTACCTTGGCACTTGGCAGTTCTCTATATACCGTTTGTGTGAGTTACCGTCTTTATTAGTTAACGTGCATTTCATCAATAACATTTGTAGGTCTTGGCTTTAATTAATTATCAAGCTGCATCTCAGATTCTATCCTGCATCTGTTGCATATCAACATTTTTTTTCATTGGTACTTTTAGGTTTATGGGGATAATTAGCGGTGTCATTGATTTTTCGCATCCGTGTCAGTAGGATGATTACCATACATGGGGGTGGAATCTTAAAGCAGGGTGCCTGGGGCGATTTGATCAAGGCTCTCAAATTTGTCACGTGAAAACCCTAATCTTCAGGGCACTTAATCACTGGTGCGCGACGAGCTGATTGAGTTCCTGACCTCCACCGGCCAGCTGTCTAGACACCAACATGGGTTCCGTCCCAGAAGGTCCTGCAGCTCACAGCTTCTCGAGGTGCTGGAGGAATGGGACCAACATACTTGAACAAGGTGACTCTGTTGACGTGGCATACCTGGACTTCCGAAAGGCGTTTGACGCAGTCCCTCACACGCGTCTACTAAAAAACTAAGGTGCTCTAGTATCTCAGGCAATCTTCTTCAGTGGATACAGGCATTCTTATCCGGACGCAAGCAAGAAGTACCTAGTCGTGAACAGAAGCCACTCGGAACCCGCTGCAGTCAGGAGCGGGGTCCCTCAAGGATCAGTCCTGGGGCCCCTCCTGTTCCTGCTGTTTGTGAACGACATCCCCTCGGCCCTCTGTGGTCGACTGCTCGGTGAAGATGTTTGCTGACGACACAAAGCTCTACCGGAAAATACAAAACAGAGTCTCCTCAGAAGCCGCCGAGGTTGAGGGGTTGGCTGTCGCTCCTAGAGCTGCCAGAGACCACCCCACCCAACATACCCAACCGGCGAAGGATGCGCATAGTCGGAACACCGGTGGTGCCCTGCCTGAGGCTGATGCGGAGGGAGAGGTGGCTGTCGCTCCTAACGGAGATGGCAGAGACCACTCTGCCCAACCATCGCCCATGCAGTTGGTGCAAGTCCCAACGGCAACGACATGTCTCCAAGGCGACATCGATGCTCTGGTGGCATGGTCCGACCGCTGGCAGCTCCCATTCAACGAGGGGAAATGCAAAATCCTGTATCTGGGTCGCCACAACCCTCGGATCAAATACACTATTGGAGGAGTCGAATTGCAGGCGGTTAAAGCTGAACGCGATCTTGTTGTCCACGTGGACTCTTCGCTGAAGTTTCGCAAACAGGCTGCTGCTGCTGCGGCCAAGGCCAACCAGCTCCTGGGAATCATCAGGCGATTGTTCGAGCTCATCGACAAGTCATCCCTTCCACTGTTTACAAGACACTGGTACGCCCACACTTGGAATTCGGCAATGTGGCGTAGGGCCCGTTCAATCGTGCTGATCAACTGTCAATTGAGCGAGTCCAGAGGAGAGCAACGCGCCTGGTAACCTCAATCAGACACCTTCCCTATGAAGAGCGCCTACAAACACTGAAACTGCCTTCACTGTTCTATCGTCGGCGGCGAGGCGACATGATACAAATGTACCAGCTGTTCCATGGAGGCGTTGATTTGGCTCCTGAAGATTTCTTTACTGCTGCCACGGACGGCCGAACTCGAGGTCACTCGCAGAAGGTCCAGAAGCCCAGAGCCGACACCAGATCAAGGAGGAAATCGTTCAGTGTTAGGGTCGTCAATGATTGGAATGGCTTGCCTCAAACGGTCGTGGACGCTGCTTCTATTGAGCAGTTCAAATCAAGACTGGATGCCCACTGGGCAAACATCAGGTACAAGATACCTGATAGGAGTTAGAAAGGTCAAATATGTCAAGAGCTCGATGAGAACGGTTCCCTACAGGCCAAGTGGCCTCTAAATTCCGATCAAATTAAGGTAAGGTACTTAACGGTGGAAAATTTCACGGTAATCACATGATTTATATGCCTTTCAGTGCCCTGTTTTCAGATTCTATCCATACATGCCGACTGTTTCGCTCTACCAATTTGAATTGGGGAGAGTGGGGTAAGATGCCCAGGGTGGGAAAGACGCCCCACCCCCTCTAGCGGCAAAATAAAGAATCGAATCTGGAAATTAATGTTCTTGGACTAAAACGGAAGCCTGCCTTGTTAACTGCACAAAAATTTGTGAAGCTCAGTTGGGCAACGGTTGGCAGTTGATTGCATGTCTTTTATTTGCTGCTTTCAAAAAATATTTTGGTGTCAAAACATTGTAAATATTGAAGAAGATAAGTAATTTTTATTCCTTTGCTATGATCGTGATACATCAACATGCGTGTACTGTGTCCCAAACATTTTGTTTCAGGGTGTAGTTTTATGGCTAAGAAATTGTACTGATTAAATGTAAATTAAGTACCTACCTTGGGGAAAGATGTCCCCTGCCCTGATGGGGAAAGACGCTCCCCCCCTTAATCTGTAGGATGTCCTTCAAGCAACCCATTGAATCATTTATGACATACCTGTGATGAGAGACAAAAGCAGATCTGGGACTATTGAGAGTCCAATATGGTCGGGTGCTCCACATGCTGGTCTCTCAGCCCACACAGAGACTTTTTGGGTGGCATCTGACTCTGAGAGCCCTCAGTCATGACGGCCTCTGTGGGCCCCATTATTGGCTCCAAGGCCCCTCACTACATCCTTTGAGGGCTCCCACGCTGGCTCCACGGGCCGTGCTGGCATCTGAGGTCCCCATGATGGGCTTGAGGGCCCTCAAACTTCATGAAGACCTATAAGGACCCGACAACAGTCTTTGAACGCCCCCATGGAGGCTTGTTTGGCCGCGCTGGACTATGATGGCCCTAACGATGACCTCTGAAGCCCCTCACGACTACTTTTGAGGGACCTTACGAATTACGATGGCGTTTAGTGATCTTCCCCAACGCCAGAGGGCGTCTTTTTCACCCTCTGTGGTAAGATGCCCCCTTTCACTTTTTCAGCAAAATGCTTAACCCGGCAGTTGCAGGGGTATTTCGCCACCTGCCGTTTGCTGGGGGGGGGGGGGGGGCGTTAAACGCCCCCAGCCGATAACTTGAGAACCAATTGGCGTAGCGAAACGCACGAGGCGCATAGGTGGCGGAACGGGGAGGTCACCGGGGCACCGTGCCCCCTTTGATTTTGGCATTTTAACATTAGCCCCATGGGCGTTGCATGGAAAGAATGGGACCAAAAGTCGGTAATGCCCCCCCCCCCCCTAATTGAAGGTGTTCCGCCGCTACTGACGAGGCGGCAAACGAAAGAACGGGACGAGATGCTTCAGCTGAGTACTTTAAAGTTGAATTTTGAGGTCACAGGTGGGGTCAAGGTCAGGTCAAACATCTGAAATCGGGCTTTCAGACTTCAGAACCTCGCAATGGGCGTCTCTCGTCATAAACTCTGTCAAAACGGTGCACAAGCCATCATATAAGGCCTACAACAGTGTCAGATCCATGTAGGGGTAAGTCAAGCATAGGTCAGGGTCAAGGTCAGGTCAACCAGGTAGGCTAATGTCCCCGAAAATCAAAACTGATATTCGCAACCTGTGACACATGTTTTATGGGTAATTTTGGGCGTAGAACACGATGGTGACATTAATTTTATCATATGTGTACGTGTTTGGTTCAAAAAGTTCAATTTAAGAAATGCATGTATCATGGTCGTGAAGTAGTCATGAGAAATCGCCAAGATTCAGTTCAAGATTTTGGAAAATGCGGAACGATGTTAAAAAAATCGAAGATAGCCATTTGATTGTTCATGGAATTGGCAGTCTAATGGCGTTTACGGCATGTCTGTATCTTTTTCTGTGATTTTATATGATTTTTTTAACATATGCCGTTTTTGGTCGAATAGGTACTCAGAAATCATCGTTACTAAAACCTTTATACCTCAAAAATTTTTAGACCGATTTTTTGAAACTTTGTCACTTAACTTCAATCAATTCCCTACAGGTACCTACCCAAATTTTGGCGCGCCTGCGGCTCGCCGTTTTTGTGCTATAGCGCGACGAAAAAAGTGGGGGCGTTTAACGCCCCCCCCCCCCCCAGCAACTCGCGGATTAATGGCAAAAAAAAAGTTATCACGTTTCAGGCACGAGAGTGTGCTATTTTTTTGGAGAAAAGTGATGTCGACTTCCGTTGAAACTGCAAGTTTTTGCTTTCTGATCGTCATTTTTCGAATAATACATGACATTGCCAACCCCTGGGCATCTTTCCCCACTCTCCCCTTCTAAATATGATCACATCAAAAGTTGAAGGGGAGGGAATGTTCCTGGTGCTGGGATTCATTTATTATTGCTCGTTTTTTATAAATTTAGCTGGAGTGTTGGGTGCACTAGCAGAGCCGGAGCCCACGCTAAGCAGAGCTTGTTGTGTAGACCTTGAACCCTACTGTCCGATTGTACAGTTTCAGGTGACCGGAAATTTTGATGCCAAAGTTCAGTGTGCCCCTCATAGCCAGACAGCCTGTCTCACTCCCTCAGCTGTCTTCAACTAGCTGCTGCTGCTCCCACCAACCGCAGACCATGCCCATCAGAAGTCAAATATCGAGAGCCGGAGCAACTTGAACCCAGTCTAACTAGTCACTACTGGAAGTCCGGTGCTGTACCAACTGAGCTACGGGACAGGCTAACGGTTGACAGGCTAAACAGTTGTTATTCATTGTTTTGATTGTTAATTGTTATGCAGGTGCTCTGGACAGCTGCAGAGTGTGGACCATCTAGTCAGGAGTCGGATAACTTCAGCACCCAAATATCAGGTTCTGCAGCCTGTCACACCAACATTTAGTGCATTTAGTGCAACATTTAGTGCAAACATTCACTGGCATGAATCTAGCACACCTTAGACATCGCTGATTGTTGCTAACAGCAGCTCATGAGAATACAATAGAATGTTGACAGCAACTCAATAGTGTGAACCCCTGTAGGCTCCTGGCAGCAGCTCGGTAGAGTTGACTCCCGTAGGCTCCTGGCAGCATCTCAGTAGAGTGGACTCCAGTAGGCTCCTGGCAGCATCTCAGTAGAGTGGACTCCAGTAGGCTCCTGGCAGCAGCGCCGTTGAGGCTGGTGTATGGCTGAGGCCCACCGTCACGGACCGTCTCTTCCGCTGGGCCCTCTGAGCGGCGCGGAACTTGGCCATGAACTCGGCTTTGGCGGCGGCCACCTCGGGTGTGTCCTGGACGGGCGCCGGTATCACGCCCTGCTGGGCCATCCGGAACGTGGCCAGGAACTGGGCCTTGGCGGCGGCCACCTCGGGTGTGTCCTGGACGGGCGCCGGTGCGGGCGCCGCCATCCGCAGCTGGGGGCTGTGCTGAGTGTGCGCGCCGGACGACCGCAGGCTGGGCGTGTCGGCCCAGTATTTGACGGTGCGCACCGTGCCCTCGGCGTCGATGTAGCGGTACTGGTTGTCGGTGACGCCGAGCAGGGCGCTCTGCGAGCGCGCCGAGCGGCCGATGCTGTCGGCGAACGTGTGCGGGGAGGTGGCGGCGCGGCTCCAGCGCTGCCAGCCGGCCAGCGCGCCGCTCCAGCCGGCCGGCTGGCCGCGCGAGACGGCCGCACACAGCAGCGCCACCTGGCCGACAGCGGGCGGTCAGCGCACGGGTCAGCCGAGCCGGGGTAGCCCGACACAGAGCTACTGTAGCAGTCCAAACAGTTCAGGGACTAGTTAATGCCAATGTCATATGCTACATGCAATTACGGACTCGTTTTAGCTCCGAAGTACCTACCGTTGTTGTGCCACAGTAGATAATGATACTGGTATCTTGGACTTACAAATTCCCCTTTGGTCTGATGTTACCTGAACGGCGCGAGCCGTAGACTTTCTGCCACTGAGTTCCTTGACTCGGTGATAGCTGGCAGGCCCAGGCAAAGAAGAAAAAGACATCCACGGGAGCCACGGAATGGGGTGTCTAAAATTGCAAGTAGTGATGCAAGGAGTGCTAAAAATTGTTTTTTTAACAGGTTGAAACTAAGTCTAAATATTGAATGAATGACTACGGGCCCTGGCGTCCGCTAAGTGAAGCCTGTTGCATAATACACGGACCCACCAGTCCACACCTTCTCCCGCTGCTAGCCGGTATGAATACTGGCATTACTCCCGGAAGTTTCACATATTGCAAGTGAAGGCGACGCTGGCTGGATGCAGTGTAACCTTTCTCACCAGGTACCAACTGTCCTCAGTTACAACTAAGACTTTCGGGCATAATGGGGAAGACGTAATTGAATCAAACCGGAATAAGAAGAGTACTGCCTACGCTATGAAGCATTTTGCGCCACTTACCACGAGGAGCTTCATGTCTGCGCTCTGGTCCGGTGTCCCGCCTGCTGCTGCTGCTGCTGCTGTTTTGGGGACCGCCGCGGTGGATTATATACCCACCTAGGGGAGCAGGCCGGCCGCCGGCGGCGACACGGCCGTCTGGGCGCGGTCCCGCAGGATCGCGCAGAATTGCACAGGCGCCTCGCAAAAACAGCCCGCCCCAGATGAAGATGGCACCGGCGATACTGCCTGCTCAAGGCCGACAGCTCATCTGGGCTGCGCCTGCCTGTCCCGCTCGGCACCAGTCGGCTCTGTTTCACCCCGTCAACAACTGGAATATTGGCACTCGCCGGAAAATTAATTAGCCCGCTAATATTCTTTGCAGTGGTGAGATGCATTTTTTTCCATCCCATTGTCTCGCCAGGCAGTTCTTCCTCTACAGGGCTAATACGAATGCTATTTGGAACCTGAAGTTTTTTTTAGGGTGGAGGGGGGGGGCTTTTTATGAATCCAAAAGTTTCATACCTATCACTAAATATAGTAAGCGTTAACTACCTTTTTCTTTTTAATTGTTCGTGAGCGGCCCCGGTCTGCGAGTTACCTGCTGATTTTGTGGGAGCGGGTTAATGTCACTGATGTGGCGCTGATCTCCAATTTCCAAACACCGGTGCACCGTGAGCTCGCACTGACGTGACCATTGCACAGAGCCTGTTGTCCACTGAGCCGCTCCTGTCAACACCGGCATCAATCATTCACCGGTAATAATTACTGTCTCTGTGCTATATGCGTTACTGTCCCTGTGATCTGTGCTTTACCGTTTCTGTGAGCTGCTTCCATCTCTGTTAACTGTGCGGCTGTGTTTCAGGCGGCGCTGTGCGGCTGTGTCTCAGGCGGCGCCCGGACCGGCCGTGTCTCAGGTGTGCGGCTGTGTCTCAGACGGCGCTGTGTGGCTGTGTCTCAGGCGGCGCCCGTACCGGCTGTCTCAGGCGGCGCCCGGTCCGTCTCGGCCGGCCATGCAGGTGCAGTGGCACACGGCCGGCCTGCTGGCCACGGTGGCTGTGTTCGCCGGCACGGCCACGCTCGTGTTCCACCACGTGTACCACCTCCAGCCGACGCCCTTCATCGACGAGGCGTTCCACGTGCCGCAGTGCCAGCGCTACTGCGCCGGAAACTTCACCCAGGTCAGCCGACTGGCAGCGCGGCGGCAGACGCGCGAGACACTAAGGAAAGCAAACCCTTGTCAAACTGAATGCAGTTTGTCCGCTCCCCGATGGTCTTTTTATAGACAAACCCCTGAGTGTAGGTAGCTATCAATGTAATTACCCCGGCACCGACAGAGCCCAATGGAACAGCCCGTCTCGGTGGCTGCTGCTGGCGGCTCGCTATATCAGTGGCTTAGCGTCTGTTTCGGTCTCAGAAATGTGTTGAAACACACACACAATTTTAGTGCTTATTTTCCCGTCGTTGCATGCATAGGAACGTAAAAAGTAAATTATCCTTGCGTTTTTTTTATAGAGAAAATGAGGCACGGGATAACGGCATTCGTAATTTGAAGGGACGGGCGAACGATCTTCAATCAGCGACTGGCCCGATGACGGTGAACAAGTGACTGACCCGGTGACAGACTCAGTGGCTGACCCGTTAACTGTCCCTGTGACTGACCCGGTGACAGACCCAGTGATTGACCCGTTAACTGTCCCTGTGACTGTCCCGGTGACAGACCCGGTGACGGACGTTGAACCGGTGACAGACCCAGTGGCTGACCGGTGACTGACCCGGTGACAGACCCGGTGACTGACCCGGTGACTGCCCCGGTGACTGACCTGTGACTGCCCCGGTGACTGACCTGTGACTGACCCGGCGCCGGTCTCCGCTCTGTGTGCCGCAGTGGGATGACAAGATCACCACGCTGCCGGGCCTGTACCTGCTGTCGGTGGGTGTGCTCGGATACACGTCCGGTCTACAGCGGCCCGCGTGCTCGCTCTACCTGCTGCGCCTGGTGAACCTGCTATTCTCGGTCGGCACGCTGATCACCCTCTACAGCATCCTGAAGGTGCTCAACGCCGAGCAGGTGAGGTGCCGCCGACAGTATCCGCCCCGCGCCGCCACTCTGCCCAGTCTGCGGCTGGAAACATTTCCATAGGGGTCAAACATCTCCCGGTGTCAAGGGAATGCTCCTATTACGGTGAAAATGTATTGCTCTGTACCCAAGCCCTTGTGTTGCAGGCATGCTGGAATCTCATTAATAACCCACCCAGCGATGTCTAATCGAGCTTCGATCAGCTGGCCTAAGCATTGGTAATGAATTTGATATGAAGATGCGCTCATTCCGATACGCATTGGCCTTGGTGCGGCGATTGGTGTGTATGGGTTCACTAGTTACTTCTGTCGCCGCCGCGGCGGGCCGGTGATGGGGGTGGGCGCTCTCCCCGATATCAGCTGCGGGCCGGTGACTGGAGTGGTCTCCCTGTATCAGATCCGAGCCGGAGCGGGAGTGGTCACCCTATATCAGCTGCGGGCCGGTGACGCTGGTTTGTGCGGCTGTGCCGTTCCAGGAGCGGCGCGAGTGGCGCCACCTGGTGGCGGCGCTCTCGCTGGCCTCGTTCCCGGTGCTGTACACGTTCTCGTTCCTCTACTACACGGACATGGCGTCCACGCTGCTGGTGCTGCTGATGTACTCGCTGCACCTGCACCGGCAGCCGGGCGCGGCCGCCGCCATCGGTCAGTCAGTCAGTCAGTCAGTCAGTCAGTCCGTCAGTCAGTCAGTCAGGCAGGCAGTCAGTCAGTTACAGTCAGTCAGGCAGGCAGGCAGGCAGGCAGGCAGTCAGGCAGTCAGTCAGTCAGTCAGTCAGTCAGTCAGTCAGTCAGTCAGTCAGTCAGTTAGTTACAGTCAGTCAGGCAGGCAGGCAGTCAGTCAGTCAGTCAGTCAGTCAGGCAGCCAACCAGTCAGTCAGTCAGTCAGGCAGTCAGTCAGTCAGGCAGTCAGTCAGACAAGCAGGCAGGCAGTCAGTCAGAGACAGACAGTAGACAGATACTCAGTCAGTCAGTCAGACAGTCGGTCAGACGCACAGACGTCCCTGCGTGTGACTGGTGACTCTCCTGCACTCTGGCTGCTGACCTAATCATCTGACTGCTGACTGTAGTGCTGCAGACCCCTCATCCCTAACTACCGACCTTTTTGTCATGTAACTGACTTCTGATCCTCTTATCGTGTAACGGCTGACCCGTCGAATATCCTCTGACTGTTGCCTCATGATACGAACTAAACTGACGCTTATGATACTTAACCTTTCGTACGTTTACGTAAATTGAGTACCGTATTTCATGAATAAGATGACCGCGGCACAATCAGTAATTCGGTGACAGTGTTGACGCTGCCTGTGACGGCTGCCCGCCGCCCGGTCTGTTCCAGGCGCCGTTTCGGTGCTGGTCCGGCAGAGTAATGTCATCTGGGTGGCGGTGGTGGGCGCGTTCGCCTGCACGGACGCCATGGTGGCGGCGCTGACGGCGGCCCGGTCGGCTCCGCGCCGGCGGCCCGTCGACCCGAGCTCCCCCAGAATCGTCCGGGTGAGCAGGCGGTCAGCCGCCAGACGGGTCCGTCACCCGCGGGGACCGGCTGCATGTTCCGCTTCTTTAGTACAGTATGTAGTAAAATAGTAGGATAGTAGGATTTAGTACGTAGGATGCCCTGTGATTCGCAATATGAACACATCTGTTACTTCTGGCTGTGCATTTGAATATTTCTCTATTTAATATTTTTCACTGGTTGTTATTAGTTCTGAAGCCCAGTGGGGCTCACCTGTGGGTGAGATGTGTTGTTTGTGTCTGTCTCTTGCGCACTGCCGTCTCGGTGGGCCCCTGGCGCCGTCCCCAGGCGCTCCTCTCTCTCCCCTGGCGCCCCGCTCTGTCTGCTGACGCCCCGCTCCGTCCGTCTGTCCGCCGGCCAGGAGGTGTTGCACTTCTACTGGTCGCAGGCGCGCCACGACCCGCTGGCGCTGGCCGAGGCGCTCACCGATGTGGTGTACGAGGGCGTGCAGTACGGCGCCGTGTGCGCCGCGTTTGTCGCCTTTGTGGCGTGGAACGGCGCGCTGGTGGTGGGCGACCGGTCGGCGCACGAGGCGGTGCTCAACGCGCCGCAGCTGCTCTACTTCCTGGCCACGTCGGCCGTGTGGCTGGCGCCGCTGATGGTCGAGTCCGCCCGGCAGGTCAGAGGGGACACGGGGGTCCGATCACCGGGTCTGAGGTCACAGATGAGAGATCGCAGTCACCCGGTCAGGTCACAGGGGGTCAACTCATCAGTTACAAGGGGTCTGTTCCAGTCGCATTTCCTAACACCTCTAAACTCCTCCAAGATTGTTTCCCTGTTCCAATGGCAGCTCTAGCCCCTACAAAGCCAAGGAGTGCCCTGCTCCGGACTCCCTCCTCTATCTTGCTCTTGGAGGAGTTTAGAGGTGTTAGGAAGTGCGACTGGAACAGACCCAAGGTCACAGAGAGCCGGTCAGACCGCTGAGTACGTAAAGGGGTTACGCCCCGGGACTGATTTATAAGTTAGGTGACCGATAATGGAAGTCACCAGCTGTAAGCTGCCGTCGGGAGTGCGGGGGGTCATGGGAGTGAGATAGACAACCACCGGGTGTCCCTGAACAGGTGACCACTGACCAGGTACCGAGTGCGCTCAGTTGCCAGTAGTGTGAACCGCTGCGGGCGGGCCGGTGACCCCGCGGAGGCCGGCCGACTGACGGTGCCGGCGCCCCGCCCCGTCTCTCTCGCCGACAGATGTTGGCGACTGTGCGCGCCCGGCCGGCGCTGTGGGCCGCGCTGGCCGCCGGCCTGACGCTGCTGCTACAGTCGGCCGGCGCGCCGCACCCCTACCTGCTGGCCGACAACCGGCACGTGGCGTTCTACGCGTGGCGCCGCTGGCTGGGCCACCGGACTCTGCGGCTGACGCTGGTGCCCGTGTCGGCGGCCACGCTGGCGCTGCTGGCGGCCGGCGGCGCCCGGCGCCCGCTGCTGCAGCGCGCCGCGCTGGCGGCCGGCACGGCGCTGGTGCTGGTGCCGCAGCGGCTGCTCGAGTTCCGCTACTTCATCGTGCCGTTCCTGCTGTGGCGGCTGCAGCTGCGGCCGCCCGGCAGCGCCGCCCTGCTCGCCGAGTGCGCCCTGTACGCCGCCGTCAACGCCGCCGTCCTCTACCTGTTTACCGTGAAAACGTTCACCTGGGATGACCAGCCGGGGGTGCAGCGAATCATCTGGTGACCGGACGGGGTGCAGCGAATCATCTGGTGACCGGACGGGTGCAGCGAATCATATGGTGATCGGACGGGGTGCAGAGGGTCATTGGTGACCGGACGGGGTGCAAAGGGTCATCTGGTGACCGGACGGGGTGCAGAGGGTCATCTGGTGACCAGCCGGGGGTGCAGCGAATAATCTGGTGACCGGACGGGGGTGTAGAGGGTCATCTGGTGACCGGACGGGGTGCAGAGGGTCATCTGGTGACCGGACGGACGGACGGCAGTGTCCCCAGTGAACTCCAGTGCGCCGTGTCTCAGGTTCCTCGGTCCGCCGTTCACTGTGGTGCAGTCAGTAGCAGCGGCCAAGATTATGTACTTTACTACTCGCAGCGGCCACTGATGTGCCGCAGCGCGGTCGGTCCTTGCCTTTGGCCATGTGCGCTCTAATTCCAAAAAGTGGGACATTGCCACAGGGATAACGAATTGGGGCACTGACGAAAGGCCACAGAGACGTCCCCACACGAACGTTTCCATTGGGGACTTCGTAAGTCACACGACACATTGAGGGTGCATGTGGTGCATGCGGTGTCATTGATGAAGTTTTCCTTTCATCACGTATTAGATGGTCAGCAGAGCAGGAAAAAGATGAACGATTTGTTGATCTTTGTTATTTTTATTTTGTTGTTTGTGTGTTTATATTGATTTTTACAGACATGGCATGTGCGTGTTGTTGAGGAAAAATGGTCAATAAAATATGGGTCAAATGCCTTCTTTACCTGGGTACATTTTGCTGACGGGTGTGTTGCAGCGTCCCTTTGTTGGCTCTGAGCGGCTCGAGGGGTGAAGGGTGTTACAAAGGCGAAATGTATTGAAACATATAATTATTTTCTTTAGATCCACTGATGATAAACATTTTTATATTTTTCAGGAGTTGAGAATAATGAATAATTTATACAGGAAGGTCAGCCTGGAAAAATATCTGATCTCCATATGCGGCGGAACGGGGAGGGCACCGGGGCACCGTGCCCCCCTTTGATTTTGGCATTTTAACATTAGCCCTATAGGCGTTGCATGGGAAGAATGGGACCAAAAGTCGGCAGTGCCCCCCCCCCCCCTTAATTGAGGGTGTTCCGCCGCTACTGTTGATCTCCATTTCAGATGCTGGGATGTAGACTGGTTATTGAGGAATTCGATCCCTCCGTTTCCGGTCCAGTTTGGCCAAGTCACGACCGTTCTGGTCTGAGCTGTGCGCTGGACGGACGACCGTAGACTGGGGAGTCCAGACTAGGTAGAGGGCGGATGACGGAAGACTGAGCCTGGGGAGTTCAGTCCAGAGTTCAGACTGACGGGCGGATGAGCGTAGACTGGAGACTTCAGACTGGCGGGCGGACGACCATAGACTGGGAAGTTCAGACTAGTGGGAGGACTACCGTATGAAGAGTTCAGGCCTTAGCCAGCGGGAACATTACCAACTCCGTCAGACTGCGTGGCGGGTCGATCACCTGCACTCGCCTGTAACCTGCGCGGCTAAGGCAATAATGTAGACTTTGTTTGCGCTAGCTATTTGCAGCAACATGCGACGCTAAAGTCTGTAGGCAAAAGGACGGCAATTTGATTGCACCAACATTTATTTCCTCATAAAACAAATGAATAGCAAATTACAACATGCACGATCAAACAGTACCCGAAACTAATACCACAAAAATTACATAGATGGATTAGTGCTAGTCCTCTACAAGACCGGTATCTCTGTTTCACGCCTCCAACATTCTTGGTCCCTCGAGAAGGCACACACAGACACGCACACGCACATTGGCACGAGACTGGCAAGACCATGAGTATTCGTTGGCACTGCCACCCAGGCAGCGAGCGGGAAAACAAACCTTCACCAGGAGCTTCGTACAGCGATAGATTTGGCCGTGCACGTGCACTTTGGCACACTTTTGTAAGCGGTGAATTCCGGGGGCCGGCCGCCGGAGCCCGTACAGAGCACCGGCGCGCCCGGGTGCCCAGAGACCGGCACACTATCGAGGTCTAAATAAATGTGTGGCTCACCTCCTCAAACCCAGGTAACCGGCGGCAGTGCAAACAATCGGCAGGGCCACAACACCGAAACACCGACCAGGCCGCGGCCCCACGACACACAGAACATCCCAGTTAGGCGGATATAAACTCAGCACGAATATTGCACATAACGCTCTGACTTCGGAAAGGAGCCGAATTCATTACAATCGGATAAACAACCACCTCAACTCCAAATATTCCGAATACTCAAATCTGGCCGGGTTTGACAGTGAAGCGCGAGTGAAGCGACTGGTGATGCGTACTTTGTAGCTAAATTGTTAGGCAGGTTTCGATAGACCAAGAACCCAGAGAATTGTGCTGTGGACACTGAGACGAGACGCCATCTATGGCAAACCAGGGGCGGTGCTGAGCAGCCGCGTGGCGGGCTGCCGTTCCGTACTGACCGACGACATACTGGCACGGATAGCTGCCCGACTCACAACCTTCGAACCCACAGCGCACCATCGGAATGCTCTGCTTCAGCAACTGCACCAAAAATCACCAAACCCAAAAATCATAGTAAGACAGACCAAAGCTCCCAAAAGTCGCGAGGGTAGAGACTACACCACAGAGGGGAGGGGTTATCCTGCCGGCAGCACGGGACGCTCCCCGCCGGACCGGGCCGCCGTCCGCCGCCGTCCGGAGCCGTCCGGAGCCGGCTCAGTCGGCGTTGACCAGCTCGGTCTGGCTGTCCTTGGTAATGAGCTGCACCAGACTGCCGGTCTTGGGCCGCTCGTCGCCCTCGGCCCACTTCCCGAACAGCCTGCCGACGAGCCGCGGCGGCGGGCGTCAGCAAAACGACGCGGATAGAAACAGGGAGCTCACTAACAGACAGGGAACAGAGGGGGAGCTCCCCAACAGACCGGGAACAGAGGGGAGCTCCCCAACAGACAGGGAATTAGAGAGGTAGCTCCCCAACAGACAGGAAACAGAGGGGGAGCTCCCCAACAGACAGGGAACAGAGGGGGAGCTCCCCAACAGACCGGGAACAGAGGGGAGCTCCCCAACAGACAGGGAATTAGAGAGGTAGCTCCCCAACAGACAGGAAACAGAGGGGAGCTCCCCAACAGACAGGGAAATAGACAAAGATCGGCTATCGGCCACAACTTATCGGCTATATCAGCATTAGAAAACCCAATGACTTCAAGTAGTTACTTCCTCATCTCCCTACGCTAACTACTATACTAGACTGACATAACTACTATACTAACTACAGGGTGTCCCAGAAGTCTTGAAGCTTTTTTATTTTTGTCGTGTGACCTTGCTATGCCACTGATTAAGGCAAATGACCCCTCAAACGAAAGAGAATGAACTGAAGTTTTGTATTTTCATGCGTAGAGCACCACTTTAGTCAGGTGGCCCCCGTTGCGAGTCGCACAAGAGTGAGCACGATAGATCACGTTCTTCGCTGCCGCCAAGATCTCCCGGTTGGCGAAACACCGGTGTCGCCATGCCCGTTTCTGGTCAGCTTCAGAGCCTTATTTCATGAAGCGAGCCAGGAAACAGAGTATTGGGTCTCCGTGAAAACATAAGTAACATAATGATTTACTGATCAGAAGTCTCCTGACGTGTTTGCACGCATCCATTACGAAAACAAGACTCAGCTGCTTGAGCGCGCTAAGCAACAGGCAACAGCCCGTTGTAATCCTTTGATTCGTCGCATTATTATGGGGCTAAAACAAATATCAACCCGTCGCAAATATGTATATGTCGCTAATATTATGTCGCTCGCTTCAGGGAATAAGACTCTGAAGCTGACAAGAAACGGGCATGGCGACACCGGTGTTTCGCAAACCGGGAGATCTTGGCGGCAGCGAAGAACGTGATCTCTCGTGCTCAATCTTGTGCGACTCACAACGGGGGCCACCTAACTAAAGTGGTGCTCTACGCATGAAAATACAAAATTTCAGTTCATTCTCTTTCGTTTGAGGCATGATTCGCCTTAATCGGTGGCATAGCAGGGTCACACGACAAAAATAAAAAAGCTTCAAGACTTCTGGGACACCCTGTAGTACAAGACTGAGAACTCACCATAACACCGACTACATAAACAGAGATCTCACCCGGCCACGTATTCCATGACAGTCCAAATGGTATGGTCGGCGGATAACTAACTCACCCGGCCACATACTCCATCAGAGTCCAGGTGGTGTGGTCGGCGGATAACTAACTCACCCGGCCACATACTCCATGGCAGTCCAGGTGGTGTGGTCGGCGGATAACTAACTCACCCGGGCACATACTCCATCGGAGTCCAGGTGGTGTGGTCGGCGGATAACTAACTCACCCGGCCACATACTCCATGGCAGTCCAGGTGGTGTGGTCGGCGGATAACTAACTCACCCGGCCACATACTCCATCGGAGTCCAGGTGGTGTGGTCGGCGGATAACTACCTCACCCGGCCACATACTCCATCGGTGTCCAGGTGGTGTGGCCGGCGGATAACTAACTCACCCGGTCACATATTCCATCGGAGTCCAGGTGGTGTGGTCGGCGGATAACTAACTCACCCGGCCACATACTCCATGGCAGTCCAGGTGGTGTGGTCGGCGGATAACTAACTCACCCGGGCACATACTCCATCGGAGTCCAGGTGGTGTGGTCGGCGGATAACTAACTCACCCGGCCAAATACTCCATGGCAGTCCAGGTGGTGTGGTCGGCGGATAACTAACTCACCCGGCCACATACTCCATCGGAGTCCAGGTGGTGTGTTGGGCGGATAGGTAACTCACCCAGCCACATGCTCCATCGGGGTTCAGGTGGTGTGTTGGGCGGATAACTAACTCACCCGGCCACATACTCCATCGGAGTCCAGGTGGTGTGGTCGGCGGATAACTAACTCACCCGGCCACATACTCCATCGGAGTCCAGGTGGTGTGTTGGGCGGATAGGTAACTCACCCGGCCACATGCTCCATCGGGGTTCAGGTGGTGTGTTGGGCGGATAACTAACTCACCCGGCCACATACTCCATCGGAGTCCAGGTGGTGTGGTCGGCGGATAACTAACTCACCCGGCCACATACTCCATCGGAGTCCAGGTGGTGTGGTCGGCGGATAACTAACTCACCCGGCCACGTACTCTATCGGACTCCAGGGCCTCATTTCATAAAGCGAGTCCGTAACTTACGCCGGTTTTTGGTCTTGTATTACAAGTGCATGTGAAGCGATGACGATAGTTTGAATCGTTGAATTTATTTATCTTGCAAACAAGAACAGAAGGGAGAAGGGAAATAAATTTATCGCTTCACATGTGCTTGCAATACAAGCCCAAAATCCGACGTAATTTACGGACTCGCTTTATGAAACGAGACCCACGTGGTATGTTGGGCGGATAACTAACTCACCCGGCCACATACTCCATCGGACTCCAGGTGGTGTGTTGGGCGGATAACTAACTCACCCGGCCACATACTCCATCGGGGTCCAGGTGGTGTGTTGGGCGGATAACTAACTCACCCGGCCACATACTCCATCGGGGTCCAGGTGGTGTGTTGGGTGGATAACTAACTCACCCGGCCACATCCTCCATCGGAGTCCAGGTGGTGTGTTGGGCGGATAACTAACTCACCCGGCCACATACTCCATCGGAGTCCAGGTGGTGTGGTCGGCGTCCGGCATGAACTTGCGGTTCATGGGCGTGTCCAGAGTGACGGGCAGGATGGCCAGCGCGGTGACTTGCGGCGGCAGGCCGCTCTCCTCGGCG